TGGATTATATTTCAATTTTTTCAATAACCAAACCTGATGACACGGTACATACTTTGGAAACAACACGAATGGAGTTGGACTCTGCATGGGACCAGGTCAAGAGAGCCTACATAGACTGTCGGGATTATGTTCCAGAAGAGGAAGGAAAGCCGATCGATAAAAATAAACTGAGAAAGCACTATATGGATACCATGGGATCGTACAAAAAAGCGCTGAGTTCAATAAATGGACAAATTCAAAATATTTTGGATGAAAAGACACAGGAAAAAATGAAAAGAGAGTCAGAGATGTCACAACAAGGAAGGGAAGTGGATTTCACAAACGTATCGCGGCTACCTCCATGCGATACAGACACATTTAAAGGTGGTTACAGAGAATGGCCGACTTTCAGAGATCTATTTTCGGCAATTTACATAAACAACTCAAAATTAAGCAATGTCGAAAAATTATTCCATTTAACGCAGAAGACAGCAGGAGAAGCTAGAGAAATTATTTCACATGTCCCACTAACTAATGATGGATTTACATTAGCATGGAAAAATCTCACAGATCGTTACGAGAATAAACGAATGCAAATTAATGAAGAAATCAAGACACTTTTTAATCTACCTGGAGTTTCTACTGAATCAAGTCACACTATACAAAAACTACAACGCACTGTTAATAGCAGCATTCAGACACTGGGGATGCTTGATGTTGATGTTAAAGGATGGGATCCGATTTTAATATACATTTGTTCAACAAAATTACCTAGAGGCTTTTTAGAAGAATTCGAGAACTCATTAAGCGATTGTAAACAAATTCCAAAATGGGAACAGTTTGACGCTTTCTTAACAAACAAATTCAAAACTTTGGAATCAGTTGGTAACATAAAGCCTTCTACATCGAAATTCGCTCAACAAAAACCAACTAACAATCACACGCCTAGATTTTTGAAAACATTTCAAACAAATGTCTCAAAAAATACAAACAACTTTGGAGGAAGACCTACTAATGTAATATTACCTCAACAAAATAAGCCGAAAAATACTCAAACTTGTCAAGTCTGCAAATCAAATCATTTCATAAGAGATTGCAGCGAATTTTTGAAAAAGAGTGTGAATGACAGAATTCACATCGTGAAAACTTCACACTTATGCTACAATTGCTTGTCATCAAATCACGGAGTAAAGGATTGCAAAAGTCGCTTTGGCTGCCGTATTTGTACTATGAAACACAATACTTTGTTACACAAGGGAACGGAAACCCAAACAACTAACTCATACCTAGCTCGAGTGGAAGCACGACCTAGTACTAGTGCTGCCGCTCTTACAAATCAAATACAGTCCACTACAAACCTAGAACCAACTACTATTACTACTTTGACCCTCCAAGATAAGCAAATTTGTGAGCGACAATCTGGAGGAACACTACTCTTCACAGCAATAGTACAAATTGAAACCAAAGGACAACTTTACGATGCCCGAGCTCTAATAGACTCAGGATCACAATCCACCTTTATTTCGGAAAAGATGAAAAACTTTTTGAAGTTACCTACACGGAACAACTTAGTTCATGTCACTGGCTTAAGTCAATTTGTTTCTGAGACTTCAACAAAATCTTGCTTGTTTACAATGAGATCCAAATACGACCCTAGCTTTAAACTGGAAGTCTGGGCTCCAGTTTTAAAGAACTTACCTTCAAATCTACCACCACAGAACTTAGATGATTCACAACTTCGAGATGTAACAGCATTAGAACTGGCTGACCCGAAATTTTACGTTAGTCAACCAATCGATTTACTTATTGGAATGGACATAGGACCATTAATATTCACAATTGGAACTCCAATGAAAACATTTGGATCAATTTTAACACAAAAAACCAAATTTGGATGGATAGTTGGAGGACCCATACCAGGAAGCATCCTTCAACGAAAACAAATTTCACTTTTAAACACAACTTCAATAGAGAAAGTACTTACACGTTTTTGGGAGGTGGAAGAGACCCCTAAAAAAGTTTTACGGCCAGAAGAAGACCAATTTTGTGAACAAAACTTCATGGAAACAACAATACGGAACAAGGATGGAAGATATGTGGTGACTCTCCCATTCAAAAAATGCGAGGAATTGGGGAATTCCAGAAACATCGCCCTAGCTCAATTCTACAGAATGGAGAAAAAACTTATGAAAACACCAGAGATCAAAGAACAATATGATGCTTCAATACTTGAATACTTAGAACTCGGTCATATGAGGAAAGTCAATCCGAATGAAATAGATAAAATGCCAAATTATTATCTACCACATCACGCTGTGATAAAACCCGATCGACTCACAACGAAGTTAAGAGTCGTATTTAACGCATCTTGTCCTTCATCAAACAAAACAAGTCTCAATGACATACTATTTCCTGGACCCATTCTTCAACAGGATTTAGTATTGCAAATTTTAAAATGGAGATTTTTCAAGTATGCCTTCAATGCAGATATAACAAAGATGTATCGCCAAATACTTTTGGATCCAAATCAAACAAAATATCAAAGAATTCTCTTTAGAAAGTCTCCGGAAAACCCAGTAGAGGATTATGAGCTGCTGACAGTTACATTTGGAGTTAACTGCGCACCATATTTAGCATTGAGAACTCTTCTTAAACTAGCAGAAGATGTCAAAGAATCGTACCCTAGAGCCGCAAATATAATTTTGAATAATTTGTATGTTGATGATGTGTTAGCTGGCGGCCACACTGAAGATGAATCAATAAAAGCTCGAAAGGAATTAACTGCTGCTTTAGACTCTGCTGGTTTTACACTAATGAAATGGGCATCAAATGATCGCAAAATAATACAAGATATTCCACATGAACATTTGCTACCACTCAATTGGCTAGACATTTCCGAAGATGCTTCAACTAAGACCCTTGGAATTCGATGGAATATCTCAGGCGATTATTTTTCGTTCACACCACCTTCAATGGAAAATAAAAATGTATCTTCAAAACGAGAAGTTTTATCAACGATAGCCAAATTGTTTGACCCATGTGGATGGCTGGCACCGGTGGTTGTTGTAGCCAAGCTAATAATGCAACAAATCTGGCTAGACAAAATTGACTGGGATGATCAATTGAAGCCAATAACTCAGATGAACTGGAACAATTTCGTCCAAAATAGCAAAGATATTGAATATCTGAGAGTTCCTCGATGGATTCAATACACGCTAGATGGTTCTGTAGAGATTCATGGATTTTGTGACGCGTCAGAAAGCGCATATGGAGCCACTCTTTATATTCGGGTGGAAAATACTGACCATAAGGCGCATACATTCTTATTAGCAGCAAAAACTCGTGTCGCTCCTATTAAAAAATTATCAATACCCAGACTCGAGTTATGCGGGGCGGTATTACTATCAAAATTAGCTAAATCCATTGTAAATAGCCTACAGATATCAAAATATTCGACACAATTTTGGACCGACTCTACCATCGTATTAGCATGGTTAAAAAAGCCTCCTTGTCATTGGAGCACATTTGTTGGAAATAGAGTCTCGGAAATTGCTGATAATGTTGGACAAGAAAATTGGAGACATGTTGATTCGGAAAATAATCCAGCTGATATTGCGAGCCGTGGATGTTCACCCGCAGAGCTAAAGACTAGTGATCTCTGGTGGCAGGGACCTCAATGGCTCAGAATGCCAAAAGACCGTTGGCCATCGTATGAAATCCCAAATGACACAAATTTGGAAGCCAAAACGGCAAAAGTCATGACCCTTTTCGCAGAAAAGGAAGACCCTTTAAAACATTTCTCCTCTTTATCTAAGGTTTATCGATCATACGCATATGCTCTAAGACTCTGGAAAAATTCTGGGGTAAATAGACAACACCTTCGCACTTCAGCAAACGACCTTACATCAGATGAAATCCAAGATGGAAAACGATCTTGTATAATTCGTACCCAAAAATTCGTATATGCAGACGAATACAACGCACTTATGAAAAAGACTCAAATTTCTCCTTCAAGTCCTCTGTTGACCCTCAACCCATTTCTAGACTCAAAGGGTATTATTAGAGCAAATGGCCGATTGGTACAATCGCCAGCCCTTACATATAGCGAACGTCACCCAATAATATTACCACATGGCGCAAAACTTAGCAAATTGTTAGTCGAATTCACTCATAAGGTTACCTTACACGGGGGTAATCAATTAATGACCCGAGTATTAAGGTCCGAATTCTGGATATTCGGACTCAAGTCGCTAATCAAACAAACCATACGAAATTGTCGAATTTGCTTAATTCACAAAAAACAAACCCAAACTCAAATCATGGCGTCGCTACCACCCGAACGAACTTTTCTTTCTCGACCCTTTACAAACACAGGGGTAGATTTTGCAGGACCCTTTAACATTAAAAGTTATTCAGGAAGAGCCTGCTTTATTACAAAAGGCTACGTGTGCCTGTTTGTTTGTTTCGCCACTAAGGCTATACATTTAGAACCCACAAGCGATTTGTCGACATATGCCTTTCTTGCCGCTTTTTCTAGGTTTATTAGTCGGCGAGGTTGCCCGTCTTGTATATTTTCGGACAACGGAACTAACTTTGTGGGAGCGGTTGATCTATTAAAGCGAGATAGATTAGCTTTCATGAAGACTATTCAAAATAGCACAATTCAAAATAATTTCACTCAAAATCTTACTTGGAAATTTATTCCTCCTGGTGCTCCGCACATGGGCGGCTTGTGGGAAGCTGGCGTCAAATCATTTAAAATCCATTTACGAAAAAGTATCCCAAAAATTAATTTCACTTTTGAAGAATTCACAACTATTTTATCAAGAATTGAAGGCTGCCTTAACTCACGACCCTTAAGTCCTGCTAGCGACGACCCAAACGACCTTTCCCCTTTGACACCTGGTCATTTCTTAATAGGAACACCTATTCTTACCCCAGCTGAACCAGACATTTCAGATACAGATTTAAGCTTAGTCAATCGTTGGAAAAGACTCAAAGTTATTTCACAATACTTTTGTAACAGATGGAAGTTAGAATATCTTCACGAACTTCACAGAAGAACTAAATGGAAATATGAAAAAGAGAATATCAAAGAAGGAGATTTAGTTGTCGTAAAAGATGATAGATTGGCTCCGCATGAATGGAAGTTAGGTCGTATCGAAAAAACGTATCCAGGTAGTGACCAAAATACCAGGGTTGTAGACATACGGACGGCAAGTGGCAACATTAGCAGACCCATTACAAAAATTGTCAAATTGTTTTCCGACTGACTAGTCGGATTCTCACTCAAAAAAGAATTTAGTACTCGCCTTAATTTCTTTTCAGATATGGCCGCTTACTTGCCCAACCAGGACTGCCGTCTGGACGATCGCAACCGTAGCCCAGACTCACCTGCCCGTCCCACAGCAAGAAGCGCCAATCGACCCATACGGCCCATCCATCGACCCAGTTCCACATCCCCTGAAAGGCGACAGAGAAGTCGATCCGACGTAAGACCCCGCCAACGCCAAGAAAGACCTAGCTACTGGCAATACTCATGTGGACTATGCCAAGAAGACCATGCCCTCAGTGCCTGTGAGAGGTTCCGCCGGCAGACGCCCTTCCAGCGATATGAGACCGTGGAGCGTCGGGGGTATTGCCGAAATTGCCTGGCGAGAAGTCATTTGGCCCCCGACTGCCCGTCTTTAACTGGTTGCCGGAGATGCAACGACCGGCACCATACCCTATTGCACGGGGCGTCTCAATTGGAGGAGGTATCCCTAAATATAGAAGCCGTCACCACCCCAGCTTTCGCGTGGGACTTAGTATTTGTACCGACGGCTATGGTACGCATAACGGCCGAGGGTATGGAGGGTTTCAGCATGTTGCGGGCCATAGTTAGCCAATCGGCGACGATGTCCAAGATCTCATATGCAGCTTTCCGTCGCCTGGGTCTGCAGTCGCGGAGCTACAAAGGGGAGCGATTCACAACCTTCACAGTTTCGCCCCGCCGCACGAACAGTACTTGGAGTCTGAAGGTAAATGCCGTAATTATCGACGATCTCCCAAGACGCATTTACTCGGACCCAATACTTGAAGACCCCACTAGATGCTTCACGAGCTACGCCTTAGCTGACCCTGATCCCAGAGGAAATAGTCCGATCGATGTGGAACTGGGAGCGGACACGTACTCCGCCATAAGGAAAGATGGGTGTACAGCAGCTGGTATTGGAGATGTCCTGGCCTACAACACTCAACTGGGCTACGTGTTTGCTGGGCCAATCAAGAACATGCCGAGGAACTGAAGACCGAAGATCCTTATGGTATATTAGAAATGAATACTTACACTTGTCATTCGGGGCCCAGAAAATGTTCATAATCTTGCTATTAATTTGCCCAACACTGTTGGTTGGGCATTTACCGGCGGCCGCATAAATGGCATCATAACAAAATGATGTAAATAATGTAAATACATACACATTCACACATACATTTATGCAGCCACCGGTAAATTCCAATGCTGAATTCTAATAACTAAGCATCGTCAACAGCCAAAACAGGTTTGATGTGACGATGCAAATTTGGCAATAATCAGTTCTTTTTCAATTACCGTCGCGAGCGCAAGTTTCCCCCCCGTGTGACAAGTGAAAGTGTCTGTATAAATCAAAATTAAAATTAATAACATTAAATTGAATATTAAACAGTGAACATTCAACAACAAGAAGAACATTACTAAACAAGAACATACAACACGAAGGTGAAAAAACTTACAAACTACTTAAACGACTGAATTAAAAAATGTGTAACTTCTGAATACTTAAAATCTACTGAAAATGTTGTTAAGAAAATAGTGGATTAAAAACTATGAAAAATTTTATAAAATAAATAAACTTAAGAACTATTGAATTAAAACCTAAGAACTAGTAAATTAAAAATTTAAAATAAATTACAAAACTTAAAAACTAATTTTACCTACTCCTAAATTGCACTAAAACCCAAAAAAAAAGCTACTGAAAAATAATAATAAATAAAAACCCGCAATAGAAAAACATAATAATTGTTATAATTTATAAAAAGGAAAAAAGGGCAAAAAAGGTAAGCCTAAAAACACATGATATGACTAAAATTCGATTCAGTTATCATTTACCACTTTATTATATATAGCCTTGAAAATTGGAAAGCATGTAATAATTAGCATTAAGAATTAAAAAACTGTAAGTTCGGCCAGGCCGAACTTTGAACATCCTCCACCATTTGGAACGAATTTGGCAATTAAAAAATCTGTTAAAACCTAAAAAAATACCGATTGTAGCTATTATATTAGGAGTTATACAACGACATGGACCTGCATAGGTACCATTTGTCATTACATTACACTATTACAATAGTTAAATGCGAAACTTAAAAAAAATCGGAAATAATGTAGATAAAATCATCAAAATACAGTATCCATTACGAACTCCAAATACCAAATTTTAAACAATTCCGGTGAATAATGTCGCTTAAATCACCAAAATACTCAAAATAGGGAGGAGCCGTTATATGGGGGCTATACCAAAACGTGGACCTATATGGCCCATATTCAATGCCAAAAGTCCTGTAGACATAGCATACATTTGAGTAAAATTTTATCAATTTACTTCAATTTGTTCGAAAGCTACAGTGATTTCCACAGACGGATAGGCGGACATACTATGGTGGAGGATATAAATATGAGTTACATAGGCCCACATTTTGGTATAGCTGCCCTTTTAGGGTATATTCTTAGTTTTGGAATTTTGAATATTTCAGCCTCAAGTTCCAACCGACTAATCTTAAATTTAGCATTGCCATTCTCAATTGGCAGAGTCGAGTTATTTTGAACTAGACCCCAACTACAGCTCGAACCCTATTTCTTCATGTATCCGACCCTTGTATCGACTCTTAATAAAAGCAAACATTTTTCTAAATATACCGGGTGAGATAAAAACAAGTTAAAAAGCAGTAATTTCGGCCGGGCCGAACTTTTAATACCCTCCACCATTTGCAACGAATTTGGAAATTTTCAAAAAATAAAATTCGTAAAAAATTCTGTTAAAATTTTAAAAATACCGAATATAGCCGTTATATTGGGGTCTATACGACGTAGACATACATAGGCATTGTTTGTCATAAGCCATTGCCATATTCAAATTCGAAACTTGAAATAAACGGTGAATAATGTAGCTAAAATCATCAAAATATCGTATATAAGGAGGTGCCGTTAAATTGGAGCTGTGCGAAGACCTGGACCAGCATAGACAATTTTCTGTCACAGGCTGTAGCATCCATTACGAACTTCAAATACCACATCTCAAACAATTTCGGTGGGTATTGTACCTAAAATCGTCAAAATACCGAATATAGGGAGGTACTGATATATGGGGCCTATACGAAGACCTGGACCCGCACAGACAATTTTCTGTCACAGACTGTAGTTCCCATAACGAACTTCAAATGCGCACAGATAATTTTCTGTCTTATGATGTAGTATCCACTTCGAACTTCAAATACCAAATTTGAAACAATTCCGGTGAATAATGTCGCTAAAATCATCAAAATACCGAATATCGGGAGGTAGCGTTATATAGGGGCTATATGAAAACGTGGACCTACATGGCCCATTTACAAACTTAACCTGCCTACTGTAAAAATAAACCTGTGTGCAAAATTTTAGCCTTGTATCTCAATTCGTTCGAAAGATAGACAGACAAACAGACGGACATCGCTAAATCGACTTAGAATTTTACGCTGATCAAGAATATATATACTTTGTTGGGTCTAACATGAGTATTTCGAGGAGTTACAAACGGAATGACAAAGTTAATATACCCTCCATAGTATGGTGCATGGTATAAAAATTGCTGGCGCATGCAATTTACATAAAATCTGGGAGAAATTAAAAAAATTACCTTCCAAATACCACAAATCTTGAGATACCGCTTCAGTGGGGGAGTGGCCCTTTGTTGGATATTTTCTGCAATTCAATTGTAGAGGGTTCGAAAATATGGCAACACTGTCAACATAAACCTCAACAGCTAACATGACCGCAACTTCAAGACAACATAACAATCTGACATTATTTACAGATACAAACAAGCGCGCGCACACACACATCCACGTCTCTACATTTTGCTTGTTCATAAGCACCTTCAACTGCTTGGCTGCCTGTCTGCCCGACTCCATTCATAACTACACAAATAAATTAACAAAACTCTTAAACAGGATTTTGCTATGTTACTTAGCAATTTCAGAGAGCATAACACCATGGCCAACCAGCCAGCTAGCCAGCCAGTGCACAACCGGCAAAGAAGAATCTAAAACCATAAACTGACGTAGATTAACAATGGAACAACAACGGCGGACTAACGGCAGCAGCAGCAAAACCAAGAGTCATCCTTTACTTTAGTTAATGAAAAATTATGTGTAGTCGAACAGTGAACCCCACTCCCCGCGCTGTATCTTAAACCCAAGGGGTACTTAAACAGTGGCCAAACAAAACAACAGCCATTATAATCGTGGTAGCACTAGGCCATTGAAGGAGGCATTTAGAAAGTAGCCGTAGAAGGAAAACCGCTTAACGGTTATATGACACTGGGAAAACCGCCTTGCAACACGCAACGTGAATGCAAAGAAAGACTCAATGGATGGGTGGCAGGGTGTGTATTTGGTGGTCTCATAAAAAATCCTTTCCCCAACCCCTTTTTCTTTCTTCATTTATTTACCACCCCATTTGAATGACTTTTAACGATGACCACTTAAAATGATAGACATTTTTCAATTTATTGCTTACTTCTGTTTTTGATTTTCTCTTATCATTCTTTTGAGAAAAAGCTTTGGAAGACCTGAAATGCTGTTCACAACATTCACGCTCTAATGGCTAGAACATCATAAAATCTTGTTAGAATTCTTCTAGTCATGATGACACGACGATGTGTTATGTTTGGGTTCGAAGATACCTATAAACGGAATAGAGAGCATTTTTTGAATGGTCAACTTTTAAGTGGAAGTGATAATAAGAGTGATGAGATTTTAAAATTTTGTCAAGATTTTATTAAATGAGAGGGTCATTATTTATGAATGTATTAATTTTTAGTTAATAAAAAATTATGACATATCGTAATTAATTTATATAATTTTCCTTAACAAGATTAAAAAAAAAACTTAAAAGATCTCTGTTTTTGAGTCTAATTGTACTTGAAAAAAATTCTGAAAAACGCACAATTCTGAAACACGACAATTATGAGAAATTAGTTTTTAAAAATCCACGTTTTAGACTCCTTATAGCAATTTAATATTGTTTTCTTAATAAACAGGGTTGGTAGCTCTAGTTGTGCAATATAAAAATATTCCATGCAAACATCTTTACATCTTCATAAAAATCAAGGCCTTTAAACATTTTTTATAGAAAATCAGATTCGGAAGCTCTTAACGTTCTTGAAAGTATTCTTTAAAATTCTCTCTTGAAGTTCCTTAGAAAATGTTCTTAAAAAACACGGCTGGGAGCTCTTATTGTAATAAAATAATTTTTAAAATCCACATTTATGAGCTGTCAGAATCCTTGAACAATTATTTTTAAAAATTCTCGATTATATTTATGAGGAATATTTATGAGGTTCCTTTAAAAAATATTTTTTAAAAATTCCTTGCAAATTATTAAAACATTATTTTTAAAAATCCTCGCTGATGAGCTCTCAGGTTCTCTGAAAAAATATTTATGAGGTTCCTTGAAAAAATATTTTTTAAAAATTCCTTGAAAATTATTAAAACATTATTTTTAAAAATTCACGTTTTTCAGCTCTTTGTCCCTTGAAAATTGAAAATTATTTTGAAAAATTCACATTTATGAGCTCTCAGGTTCCTTGAAAATTGAAAATTATTATAAAAACATTCACGTGTATGAGCTCTCCGGTTCCTTGAAAAATTATTTTTAAAAATCCACGATAATGAGCTCTCAGGTTCCCTGAAAAAATATATATGAGGTTCTTCGAACATTTTGTTTAAAATTCCTTGAAAATTATTATTTTTTTTTTTAAACCAGGTTTTTGAGCTCCTAGTCCCTTGAAAATTATTAAAAATTATTTTTAAAACATCCACTTTTATGAGCTCTTAGTCCGTTGGAAATTATTAAAAAAAGTAAAATCCACGTTTATGAGCTCTTAGGTTCCTTGAAGAATTGTTTCAAAAAATCCACGTTTGAAGCTCATTAAGTCCTTGAAACATAATTTTTAAAATCCATATTTATTGACTTTATGATTTAGATTTCGAAGTTCTTAAAGTTCTTAGAATAAATATTCCTTAAAGTTCACTTTTAGTAGCTCTTAAAGTCCTTAAAAATCCAGTGACCAGTTAAGTTTAGTTCTGGCAGGTTCGATTGATTTAGGTTGTTGCTTTCTCTACTTATTCCGTAACTCATTTTACTGCTACATTGCCCAATTCTAATACAGTTGTGGAAGTATTTATAATATCTCTTTCAATATTCAGAAGGATGCGGTCAGGTACATGTGGCCTATCTTTATGCAAATATGTCTATCTGACGAACTAATTTCATCTTCTATTTCGGAGGAGAACTATGTTTTTAAAAATTATTCAACTTGATATTTTGAATATATCTCCACACAAAATATTTCCTTTAGGTAAGTCAACGTCAATTTATATTCAAATAATCTAAGCCTTAAGCAACATTTCAAATTCTCACAATAATCTCTTAAGAGTTCATTGGTATTGTGAGAGGTGTTTCTGACACCACTTCTTCAATGTATTTCAAACTTATAACACACCCCCTCTCCCCCCCCCCCCCCCCTCGCCACCTCTCTCAGTGTGCCCTCCGTTATAAGTAAACACTTCATGGTACTCATACATCGCCGTCATTTGTAACTATGATTTTATTGACAGATGTTGTTATACTCTATGATTAAGCGTATGTCATCAATTCTATTAGATGATCCAATTTTATTAGAATTTTTTCTTTGCGATTTATTATTACTTCTTTCTGCTTGTCGGCAACAAGAAGGGGTTGGTTGGTTGGTTTCGGTGTGT